AATAAGTAGTATATATTTATATTATCTAAATACTCATTTTTTTCTCTCTTTCATCATTAATATACAACACATTTTTGGATTTAAGTGATTTTAGGTATGAATTCACCTTTGTTATTAGGTAGCTCTTTCTCCTAAAATATGTGAGATTGATGTTTCGAGATAAATTTAAATTCAATCGGACCTTAATACTGACGTCAGCAAAAATATTTTTTTAACAAAACTCCAGCTGGTCTAGCTAAGCATGCTGGCCACTGCCCCTGTGTAGATCTCCTTTAAAATTTGACGAGAAGTAGATTGTAAAAACAATAGATGTATTTTAATTTATCGACTGACCTTAAGCCCTTGATGAAATATATATTATTTAGTTAAAATATGCAATAGCAACTTGTAAATTAGACACTAGTTGAGAATAGTCGTTATATCTCTCTCTTTTTTAGGGCGATAAAGTCAACGCGTCTAAAGTTAAGGTCAGAAGACAGAAGACGTGTGATAATAAATAATCATATAAAAAGTACAAAAGAAATGATGACATATTTTATAACAACAATATCAATTAAACAAAACATTAGAAATCAAATAAGTCGTCCCTCATTGAGTCACAACTCTATTACTCCCAAGTATAATAAAGGTCCTAAAATTTTGCTAACCTTTCGCTTTTATTGCGATATAATTAAAGTGTCTGAAGTTAAAGCGAAAAGACGTGTGATAACAGATAATCATATAAAAGTAAATGAGAAAATACGTACAAAACGGATGAAAGGATAACATATTTTATTAATATATGAATTAAACAAAACATTAGAAGCCAAATAGGTCCAAAATGAGACAATATTTTCAAAAAATAAAAATAAAAAATTGAATTGTGTTTTATGTAGTTCTAAAGGTATTGCAAAGGACATTTGGCTTTTGCATTTATCGAAAGGCCATATTTATAATTAACAAGCCCCACCTAATTCCAAGTCTATCGTTTCTAGTACAATTGTACAAATGTACAATCTAGGTGGTAAATAAATGGCAAAATATTTATTATACTACTACTATATAGTCTTTGTTTGTCCAAAATTTAAGTATTGTGTACATACATGGAATAATTAAATAATAATTGATTTCATTTATAGTTAGGGTTATTACATAATTGCAAGCCTAGAACAACATATGGTGTGGTTCTACAACTACTAGGTCTAATAAAATTTTGGAACATCACATGTCAATATGACTTCTATGAGTTTAATTTTTAAGATTACTAGTGATAAAGAAATAGATATCGAATTTAATTCAATCATAAAAGTTAACTAAAGAGAAAAACATTTTCTAAAGATCGTACAAAGAGACTAAACGCCACTAAATCGACCAATGTGGGTAAACAACAAGCCCTTTCATAATCAGGATTGAATATCTGAAGTTTGAATAATTTAGTTAGGGACACTATCAGATAAAATAAATTGGAATGGGGCGTATATTGATAACATGATAAAAATAAATTTTGATATAATCCAATCTAAAAAACTAACTGAATAAGAAAAAATTAACCACAATTACTTAAAAAAAAAAAGATGAAGAAGAAGAAGAGCAAAATGCCCTAACAAAGAGATGTGTGACTCAACAATAAGCCTTTTAACTTATTGTGCTTTTGAATTACTGATTCGAGTCTAATAACTGTTGAAAATAGAATGTTTTTTACATGTCTTTATATCCTATGCATTGTTATTGGGTTCACGAGAACTCACAACGAAGTCAGAGAAACCTATATCTATGATCTTTTATGTAAACTAAATATGTTCAAAGATAATTACATATATGATGATATCGTAGAGAACTAGTGGGCATTTGAACATAAATTGGTTGAGGGTTATAATAAATTTTTAAAATATAATATCTTCAATTAAATAAAAAATGTGAAAAATACACATCTAGCAATTTGTTTGCCATTTGATCAAAAGAGTTGAACATAAAAAGAAAATATCAGAAATTATCAAACCATTATTTTGGGGGTAAACTAAAATTAAAAGATATTTTCTTACACAAGGTCTTTAGATTCTCATTATTAAATTCAAAAAAATAAAGTCAGAATATACTTTTCAAATAATTCAAACTGCCCTATTTATTTATTTTTTTCCAAAAAGTCAAAAATCACTAATATTTGTGATTGGATGCCAATAAAACTCATATTTGAACTGTATGAAACGTGAATAGTCAAAATAATACATTACTAAATAAAACAAAATCATTCCAAAACTTTTATTAAATTACAAAACAAAAATAAATTAATTTCAAATTAGTTGTTTTTTGAAGTAATAATATTAATTATATTTTTGTAAATTAAATTCATAAATAAATTTTTATATTTTTAAAGACATGTGAAAAAGAAATATAACAGAATATTTAATCTTTTTTAGTGGAGGAAAGAAAAAAAAGGCAATAGAATCTTGGACAATTTAAGATTCTCAAGGATCAGAATATCTCTTTTTTTTTCCATTGACAAAATAAGATAAGTTAAAAATCAAAAAAACAAGAGAATATACTTGACCAATGAAATAGAGATAATACCTAACATGCATGAGGGGCAATACACTTTTTATTAAAAAATACAATACAATTTTTCTTGACCTATTATATATTTAATAAAAAAAATCAACTTAGCACTAAATAGAATATTAGTATCCAATGTTGCATATTCTTCTTATTCCTAGGAATATTCGTATGGGAACCATCCTTATCGAACCTTTACAATCATATAAAACTTTTTTTTTCTTTTTAATTAGCCAATTGATAGGTTTCGCTATTTAATCAGGTTCGAATATTGTATACAAAAAATTATAATTAAAGACGTAGTTTTTTTTATTGAGTCATAGTCATATATGATATGATTCTGAATTAATTGACGATTTAGATGAATAAGAACTTTTTAGATGTTATCAATTACTTAAAAAAAATTAACCTCACAAAAAAAAATCAAAATAAACGTTTTCTGTAAAATCTAAAGCAAAATTCTAGTCGGTCGTCAAGCTTTTTTTTATTTAATATTGAATAAAATTTGTCTTAACAAGTTAGGTGATTAACAAATTATAATGAATTGTTAGGATAATAATCGCGAGAATTGTCTTAACAATAAATTATGATGATTCTTAGAGTTTTCGCAGCAACAAATTTTGACATTTTATAAAGATCTTTAAGAATTCTATCAAGTCAATAAAATTTGATTTCTTTGACTCGAATACTAGGCAATGCTTCAAGCTCGATCATAAGGTAAGAATTATATAAGGAAGTTTGAACATTGAGCAAATTATAAATTATAATAGGCTCGATTCTGACACCAATCAAAAGTCATAACTCATAAGAAATAAATTCCGATAAAGTTCAACTGGAAAAAAATAATGTATGAAATGCAAGCCAAAATTCTTAATTTTACCATGTATAAATATTACAACTTATTATCATCTTAAAAAATATTAACAATATATTTTTCTTTTAAAAAATTCAAAATTTACCTTATTATTTAATAATAACGATTATATTTTTGATTGATATCGCAATCACCCTTTAAATGGACGTTGGTGCAAACATTTCCTGTTGATAAAATGCAGCTTTTCGACATTGAAAAAAAAGTATATGTTAAGTGATGAGTCATACAAATAGGACGAGTAACTTCTACGCAATTAAATTTCTCATAAATTTCCATCACGTATAATTATCTTTTGTATTAATTATATGATGTAGAATATTGCTCAAAAGTCAAGTCTATTAAATCATTTCTATATTTGTATTCTTTCGTTATTATTTTCAATAATTTCATCCTCTTTTTCTTTTAAGTCAATTAAGTTGGTACCATCGCTAGAGTAATTATTTTTTAAACCCAAGATAATTTACGGTTGTTATAATCTGCACTCTGTGTACATTGAGTAGATCTCTTCAAATCGCAGTAGACAAGCTTTATACTATAGACTCGATTCAGAAGACACTCATGAAGAAAGAATGATTTCGAATTATCATATAGATAGCCATCTTTCAAATCAACTGAGCATCCTGAAGAATCAACTAGAATAATCAAAACGCAACTAATTGTTGTGAAAAGAAAAACAGTGGATTATTATTCCAAAACTATGGATAATTCTTTAAGATATGTATTGACTTTTGATAACTTACCTAACATAATCTCCATTAGTTTGCTTTTTCAAAAATTATGCTGGATTCTCTCTCCTTTTTACAGTTGTTATTAATAAAAGATAGAACATAATCCTTCCATTTCAAAATAATAGTCACATTTTACTTTAGGGGAATCACTTTAATTAATTTTGAGTTAAATTAAATTAGATTAATTTAATATTTAAAAATTAGATTTAAATATTATAGACAATACTAAAAATATTATAAGTTATAATTTTTTTTCGAATCAATAAGACTAAAAAAACATCTCAAATTATTGAATTAACTCTAAAAAATTAAATTTGTTTGTCGCTAATTTATATTTGATTATAGTAGTTTTTTCTTTCAAGGATTCAACATATAAAATTAACATCGAAATTTCTCATTTTTAAAAATTAAATTTTGTATGAACTCGTTTTCTTTCTAGTCATAAAAGCAAGACTAAAGATATTTTATCTTTTCAAAATTTTACTTCATAAAGTTACGTTAAATTTATTATTGTTATCGTTGTTATTTTGGAGTATCGAGGGTTTTTTAATTAAGCTTCTACATTTTACATTAAAATTCACCATACTTCAATAATAAAAAGACTAAAAATTAGCTAGGGTTTATGTAGCTAGGTTAAACGGTGAATACGAGTGAAAATAATTTTGCTATAAAGTAAAGAATAATTCTGCTTAAATTAAACGCTATGCAAAAAAATTCCACGTGCCATTTCAATAATCCAAAACGATGGGAACCCACCATATTATTCAATCTTAATTACTATCATTGTCAAAATGCATCTAAAAGATCTTCAAAAGATATCACGATTTGATATATAATATTTTTTTTAAATATAAACTAAAACAAACAAATAAATACGATAAGCTTTTTTTTTTCTAACAAGACCGAAAAATCAACTCTATATGACTTTCTAACATTTATAGTAGAAAATTGGAAAAATTAAAATATATTACAAAAATAAATAAATAAAAAATCTACACATTTTTTTTAGTAAGCTGGTGAAGCAGTAGTTGTATGTGTAGAAGAGGACGTTGCCGGAGAATTAGAATGCACACCGCCACAGTCGGAGTGACTGTGGCTTCTGTCGCGCTCAGAGGAACGTTCTGAGCGCGACGACTTGTTGTTGTGCTGCCTTAGGGTTCCACCCGATACATGATCATGGAGTGGACCCTTTGGATGAGTGGCAATAGGTGCATAGATTCCATTTGAGTTGGCAACTCCCGATGCTTCGCCCGAGGCCGCTGGAGCACCAGCGGCCATCGAGGCGTATTCGGGTGGTGGGACCCATATTCCTCCGACGACCACAAATTGTGGTGGTTGTTGGTTGTTGTTGTTGTGAATTGATGAAGGACTAGGTCTTCTCGTGTGTAATCGATATTTCTACATAAAAAAAAACAAATGAAATTTAGGTCATGCATGTATATATATATAAATAAAAAATAAAAAAATTACACTATTAAATCACGTAAAAAAGTTTTACTATTTTAATTTGTAATTAGTTGTAAATAACTTCGAAAATTACACATGCATATATGTTGCTTGATTTGGTATCCATATAAAAGCAGATTTATATAAACAATTTTAGAAAGTTTATTATAGTTTACTAAATTCAAAGCATCTTTCGATTTTTTGCTCATCTAAAGATATATATACAGCTACATTTACCAAATTTAGCTAAACCAAATCTCAAAAGTTGTAGATTTTTCTATAACAAAATAGATATTTAGTTCGTAACGGCAAAAATAACAATAACAAACTCAATATAATTTTACTATCTTACTTCCCTTTTGAGAATATAGAAAAATTATTTTCGATAAATCACCAAACCCATATGATTTCGTATTAATTAAAAAGAAAAATATATGTAGTTTATCCAAAAATTCTTGAGTCTATCTATCCAAAAATAATCCAAGTTTGTACTAGAATATGTTGATGGACCCCTAATCAATTTTGCACTACCAAACAAAAGAAAAAATATCCAATTTACAAGTTTTGATATACATCAAAGTTCATCATGTTTCACATTCGCCAAAGATAAATAAATACTTTATTTGAAATAGAAAGGAGCACCAAAATAAATATAAATATAAAGAAAAACATCTAGAATGTTCATTAATCATTAAACAAACCTGTAAATGACTCTTAACTTCATCATTAGTAAGTCCATCCACCTTCATTAACTCCCTAATTTGTTTTGGTGTAGCAACTGCAAAAAATTAAATACAAATAATTAGCTACGGATAACTTCTATCGCTAAACAATAAAATTCATCTCGAATTAAAAATATTTAAAATAATTACCATGAGAGCCACCTAGTTGTTGTAAGGCATGTAAAAATCTTCTATGCAACTCTGGAGACCAACACCTCCTTTGTTTTCTTTGTCCATCTTTATCCTCTTTTTTACTTCCACCGCTATTCTCCGCGGTGGAACTACCTGTCGCCGCCAACACAACGCCAGCCAGAGCTGGCGTTGTTTCAACGGCGGCGACCGTGTTTTTCTCTTTCTTAAAAGGATGAAATGCTCCTCCACTTCCATTTTTCTTCACTTCTACAACCGACACCTTTTTAGGTGTTAATTCCTAAAATACCCCCACAAAAATAAAAATTAGATAACCAAAATTTTCAAAAAAATAATTTTTTTTTGTAAAAAAATAATTACCTCTTTTGGGGTGGGATCTGAAGTTTGATTCCAAAGCTGAACAGATCTAAGCCAATCAGATTTTTTATTTTTTGCATCCTTAGAACTAGTAGAATTATTATTGTTATTATTAAAAGATTTTGATTTATGAGATTGATTTTCTTCATCATTCTCATCTTCATCTTCATCTTCATGAGAAAATGTGGATTTTAATGGAATAAATTCTTCCAAAATAGGAACATCACTAGATGTATGTTCATCATCAGAACATTCAGTAGATTGTGCATTAAGGTTGTATTCTGTTGTTGTACCAGATAATTGTTGCTTGTAAGTTTCAATAGCTGCACATGAAAAAATTAATATTAAAATCACAAAAAGTTAATAAATTTTAGAAATGTTGTTTTGTTATTTTGTTTGAAAAACATTTCAATAAGACAATTAATAAATGGGGTTCTATTATTTTGTTAAATAGTATAGAAATCTTGATGAATAAACCATTTAGGAACACTAAAATTTAATTTTTTTTCACCACATTAAACAAAAAGAAAAATCACAATAAATGAAGAAAATTAAAGAAATAGGGTTTTATTATTTTGTTTGAACTTTGTATACTATAGAATCTTGAAGATAAAAAAATCACAAAAAAATGGGGTTTCATTATTTTGTTTGAAATATAGTATGAATCTTTAAACAAAAAAAAAATGAAGATTTATATTATATGGATTTAGTATAAAAATCTTGAAAATATTTTTTTTAAAAAAAATTACCTTGAGTAACAAGTTCAAGACAAAGTGGAAGTTCTCTAGAGAAAACTTGAATTTTTGTTCTTTCTTGTTCAAGAGCATCAATATATTGTTGACATCTCTCCATTTTGTCTGAAAAATTGTTGTTGCTCATCATCTTCTTTGTAAAGAAAAATGAATTTTTTCTTTGAATTTTTCCAGTTTTTGTGAGATGATTTAATTGACCTAAGAAGGAAAGTATGGAAGAAAAATATTTGTTAAATTTATTTAAATATTATTATGCAAAGGCTATAATGAGAGAAATGAGGGGACCAAGGAGGAGGATTTAAATGAGTGAGTTGATTTGTTTTCTTATAAACATAGAGAGATCCGGAATGGGAAATTTAAAAGAATAAAGGGATCTAAGAAGAATCATAAAAGGGAATAAACTTGGTATATAAGAAATTAAAAATATTTTAATCTTAGGTACATGTAGAAACATCTAGCTAGACCATCAAGTCCTTTGCTCTTTGAGTAATGGTTTCGAATTTGAGTTCGAATTTTGAAAATAAAAAATATTTTGGATAAGTAATGTTTTCTTCGTAAGAATTATGAATTTGGATTAATATAATAATGGTATTACTAAAATATGGTATACAGAAATATAATAGAATAAAAGAGATTTCGAATTTAAATATGAAAATAAAGAAATGTTTAGTAGGATAGAACTTTTTCCTATTACGAGTCATGCACAGTATGGATATGGATTACTCGAATCAACTTCATAAATCATACGAGGTATGATTGATGGATAAAATTTATTTACAATTTTAAGTTTGAACCTTAAAAAGAAAAAAGCTTTTGTTAAGGAGCATTTTTTTCCGTTAAATTGAATTAATCAAAATAAAAATATGCTCTACGAAAGTCTAAAATTAATTAGCCAAAAGCTTCATCATTAATTCGTTATCAAATCACTATTTCTATCTCTAAATAAGATTAATAATGAATTTTATTATTTAGAAGTAAGATTTCTTCATTATTAATTCGTATCATTTTTATAGTAACATAATATCAAGTGATATGAATCAGGTTATTTATTTCTTTGTCCTTCATTAAAAATCTCAATTACAAATCCCAAAAAAATAATTGAGAACTTTTATTTGATGATAAATTTATTAAACGTAATTACAATTAATCGAGATGATAAATTTTGAATATATATGATATTTTAAATTTTTTGGAAAAGGTGGTGCGTGGGAAGAAGGGTCGAGGTCGGGGCGTCGCATACGAAACGAATCTTTGATGGGTTAGGTTTCGTGCTTTTTAGAGAGTTGTGAATATTCGAAAGAGTGATTCTTATATTTTTATTATATTATTATATGATCAAATAAATAAAAATAATAATAATGTGTGCTGGCATTGACGTTACATATTACACTATCAAGATAAGATCAAACCTCTTTTACTCTTTTGTCCTTCTAAATTATAAAAGTAAACATTTAACATACCTACTACTATTTCTCATTTTTCCCACTTAAAGGGGTCAGAATTGGTGTTAGGAAAATGAATTACTAACACATAAAATCAAACTTTCATCAAAAAGGTAGAATTTCGAAAAATCTACAAATTAACGAGCTATTAAGATCTTCAGAATTGATAGTGTTATTATATTTTATTCGTTTATTTTTACTTTTCAATTTATATCAAGAAAAGTTTAATTATATTTTTTCATTTCTACTGTCAACATTAAGTATAATTTTTTCAAAATATTTTTCGAGACTTAATGTTAAATATCACTTAATAGAGATAGTTTGATAAAATACGCATCAATGATCATTTTCTTAATAGGTGTATCTAGTTAAAATATGACAAATAAAAATGAACAGAGGAAATATTAATTTATCACTTCTTTTTCTAATGTTAAATAGCACAAATTATAACACACCATGCGATTATGAAATCAAATCTATACGAGGAACTTGTGTTTTTTTTACTGATATCTCATGAATCAATGTTGCAAGACATACATAATTAATTAATATTACGATACAATATGATAACGCATCACTATTTGAACATATTAATATCAATACTACACAATTATACAACTAACTATTCCTTAACCTCATAGACCTCAAGTTCATTTCTTATATAAATGAATAAATTGATGAACAAACTAACTTTGCAACATTGATTCACTAACAAAATATACAAATTGGGTAGAAATAGAGATGACACAAAAATTGAGGGGCTTCACTTACACAAACCCTAAAAAAAAATAAAGCACAAGGTCAAAAATTCAAAATGTACAAATATGAAGGGTCAAAGTGCAATTTAACAAAAAGCCACTCTAGAACTTTCTTTTTTGCTTGGAATATACTCCGTTTCTTTGGTTCAGAAAAATTACGACAACACTACAAAAACTTCCAACGAATCTTTCCAAAGCGCGTGCCTACACGCGCCATCCACCTCGACGTATAATTTTTATTTTTTTTAAAAAAAATATGTAAAAAGAGAGACAAGGCATAATTACGAGACGAAGAATCGAACACTCGTTACTAAAATAAAATTTCAATAAATAACTAATCGAGCTATTAAAATTTCGATATTTAGTTATGTTGGCTTTCGGTGTCTCAAAGAGGCAAAATAGAATCGTGTGATGTGTGTCCAAGACGCATGGCATAATGCGTGATGAGTACGCACTAATACTGATCTGACACAATTGTCGCTGATTGGGTCCCGTTACATTGGGGACCGTAGTAGGTCGTGTCCGAATATTTTTTAAACAAATATTTTTAATTTGATAGAATGCGATGAGACTATGGGCCCGTTTGGATGTCCTCAATAAAAGCAGTTTTAAAAAAGTACTTTTGAAAATGCTGAAACTTATTTTTAAAATAAGCAGTTATGCGTTTGAATAAAAGTGCTGAAGTTAAAAAAAAAATTGTTGATGTGTTTGGCAAATAAGTGCTGATAAACAAGTTTTTAAATCAAAATGTCTGAAATACCCTTAAAAGCTGTTAACATAATAAAAGTTAACTAATTTATATTTTACAGCCATAAATAATTATATTTTGCTATCATTCACATATTTATTTTTCATCACAAATTATTTATAAGAGAAATATAAACTTATTATAGATTTTAAAGATATATAATTTGAATAGATTAAAGAACGATTTAAGATTTTTTTAAGTTTCATCCATAGGTAATAATAATTGTCTATCATTCGCATATTTCTTTATTATCACAAATTATTTATAAGAAGAATATAAATTTTTATTTAAGTTATATGTGCAACTTGTTTTACATTATTAATATATAATTTGAATAGATCACCCGAAAGATTTAAGATTTATTTTATTTTCATTCATTAGTAATTGTAATTGTCTATCATCCACACGTGAAAAGGGAAAAATAGATTAAAGAGATGTTACGGTTATGTGGGTAATTTGAAGATTGTATAAAAATATTAAGGGCAAAAAGGTAAAAATGTGGTCAACTTAAAACAGCTTATAAGCTGGAAAAAAAACATCCCTACTCCAGCTTTTAACTTTTGGCTTAAAATAAATTTTTTCAAACTTAAAATAAGTTATTTTGAGTATTGCCAAACAACTAAATAAGTCAAAAACCAGCTTTTAAGTCAGTTTGACCAGCTTTTAAGCTAAGCCAAACAGGCTCTATATTCGAAGAGAAGCACTCTCTGGTAAGAATTTTTCATTTTTAAGATTTCAGTTAAAGTCTCTAATTAAAAGAAAAATAGTCTGATTTATTACGATTGATGATTAAATTACTTAATTAATTTGTAAAAACTTTTTTTAAAAAAAAAATCGTAAATAGGATAAGTCTCTGTGCTTTCTTTGTTTGGTGTATCCATGGAAAAATAGAAATAACATCATCATAAACTTCAGTTTATGTTTGAAAATAATAATTAATATAAATATTTAATCATAATAGTATTAAAAAAAATTTAATGTACACTATAATTTTTCGCAAGTAAACATGAATTAATTTCTAAATGGTCCATAGATAATCAATAACTCTTAGTAAAATGAATATTGTCATCTTTTATCTATCACTAAACGAGATTAATATGTAATTTCGACGATTGTTAATTCGTTCATTGTTTTTTGATAGTGCAATCTCTCCGTCACGGTTATCTTATATGATTATTTTTGTTTCAATTTAATTTAAAGTTGAAAAATTAGTTAAAAGAGCTAGTATTTCAGATTTAAATAATGATTTCATTTTTTATAAAATTCAACACCCCTTTTTTCAAACGTAAAATTAGATTAAAATTTGGACTAAATCTACACATTTCTAGGTAAGGGAAATATTTTTATTAATTTAATATTTATAATTGATAGTTGGTTTAATGATACATGATTAAATAACAAGCTACCAATAAGATTGAGATAATATTTTATACATAGTAAATAAATGTACGAATTAACGGCATTTTGACAACTACCTCTCACCAAAGTATTATTGTTATTGACTAGCAAGAAGTCTTTTATTAGCAACGTAATTTAATTAATATCTTAGTCGATGAAGATATATAGATCATTGGGCATTAGCTAACTTTGCATGCACTTACAAGACAAGGTTTATGGAACAAAATATTATTTTGGACCTAACTAGAGGTATTGATTGTGATTTTTAAAGATTTGTTGAATAACGAGTGATATAATGACACAAAATATGATAGAAAAAAATAAGAACAGACGTCTAAGTAACAGTAAAATCAGAGATTTTGTCAGAATAATAATGGTAAAATTTTTAATGTAATTCAATAGTTGAGGTTTGGAGAGGAAGTAGAATATATATAAATTTTATCTTTCGAGAAAGAACAAAAGTGGATTTTGAAAGACCCTCGTCTGAAACAATAATAAGATAATATATATCAAAGCGAAACAACCAGTGACATAGCCACCCTTATGTTAAAGTGTTCAATTGGATACCCTTCGTCGGAAAATTATATCGTATATATAAGGAAAATAATAACAAAGGGGCTAAATAACATATTTTGAACATCCTTGACACAACAATATGATGTAACCTAGTGGTTTCGGACGTCTTGGAAGAATGAAAACACACAAACTTAAAGTGATCGTGTGTTGTAGCAATTTTTTTTCACTTTTTAAAAGAGCATGTTCATTTAGCAATTGAACATCCTTCGTGAAATTTATGACTTTGCCATTGGATTTTGGAAACAACATGTAGTAATATGAATCTAGATATTGTTTAATATAGTGCAGGCTGAGCTGGCTGTAACTAACTATTAGTTAGCTGACTGACGTGTATTAGTTAGTTAGCTAATAGTGTAGTTAAATAATAATGACAATTAGTTTGATAGTTAGTTAACTAATCTACAAATTGTATATAAGTAGTTTGTACAGCTGCAATTCTCATTCATTCAATAATATCTTCTCTCTTCCTTCTTCGATTTTCCCTCAAGCTTCATTGTCATAGAGTAATATCAAATCAATTAGTTTACAGATATAAAGGAAGAAAGAATAATACTAGTTAAACTCGAAAAAGGAAATGAAATATATCCAACGACTATTATATATATACATAAAACAATTCTAATTGATCGATACAATTTAATAATTTTCCGATAAAATGTGTTGAACGACCAAACCAACCTTCACCGGTTGTTGCTCCGCCGGCCTATGTGAAGGTATTAATGATATAATATGAAATGGCATATTCTTTCAAAATGCCGTCTTGTTATGTGGACAACAATGGGGTTTCCATAGAACTATAATTCTTTAAAATATTTAATCTAAATATAAGCATATCTCTTATAGTTAATGGACCTCTATTAGACTATTCTATCTTTTTTTTTTCTATTTACTTTTCTATTATTTTTGTCACAAACACACGAGATTATATGATTTCGTAGAAAGATTTAAAATTTAAAATTATAGATTTTTAATAATCTTAATTTTTTAGATATAACAAAGTTTAAACAGTTTAGTTTCTATTGTTGGATAAAAAACTTACTTGTTGTAGAATTTATAATAATTTTTTTATATATATTTATTAGATTTCTAAATATAAATTTGAGATTTAAGCAAAATTATCGAGTTCTTGAAAATCTACTCCCAATCTAATACGCTAGATAGAACCATATTTCATTTAAATAATAACAAGATACAAAAACAATATTATCCCTAAACAAAAAAAAATTATAACAAAATACAAAAGAATTTTTGCTAAGTACACTAATTAAGATAACAACAAAAAGGTGTGCTATATTAAAATAGTGGATCATATCCAATAATGAATCTTTGATCTGTCTCGTTTATTTTTTTCCAAAAGTACTAAAATGGAATTTTTTTAATTAATTAAATAGGGACACCAATTTAGGAAATGACCTTAGGTCCCTTAAGAGCCAAAAAGAAACACAATTATGGAAAGACAATTCATAAGAAGACACTTCAGTTTGTTTCTTGCATGCACAAAATATTTTATTAAAGCAATATAATATAATATATATATATATATATATATATATATATATATATATATATATATATATATAATATGGTGCAAAAGTCACCTTGCCACCCACAACCCCCCACCCCCACCCAAAAATATGATGAATGGCCTTTCATATGAATGTGGGGTTGGATCTTAAAATTTGTGAGTAGTTGGCATCCTTAATTGCTTACATGATGAAATATTAGGGTTTATCTTTAAAAAAATTATGCGAGTTATTCGTGCTAGCGATTAATAAAATGAGTATAAGTTATTAGAGATCGAAATTTGAAGTTAAATATAAATAAAAATAAAATAAAATAAAAAGTTCTCTTTTTATTTATTTAATTTTAATAAATAAAATAATTCAGTAATCGTGTTGGATGATTGATATATAAGCGCCTTTGAAGTGATGGGTTGCCTAATGTAAATGTTCCTTTTTATAAGCCATTAGTTAGATGTGTCTCGATTTTATATGTTGTACAAAAATAATCCAAAATATTAATTATTTCGGACAACGTTAGACTATGATTTAATGTTTGCTCTACATTGCTTAATCTTCTTATAGATAAAACATTAAGTTATTGTCAACATTGACTATAATTTACAAAATTGCACAATGGTTTAATATTTACTCACAAAAACATTCAATTTTACTCAAAAAAAGATATTTAGTATAATTCTAAAGCTCCATATATAAGTTGAAAAAATAAAATAAAAAAATGTCCATTTACTACACAATCTCCATGAAAACGGATACATACGTAGTAAAAATTTAAAGAGATAAAAGAAATTCGACGAGATAATCACAATATTTATCTACTAGTTCTAATTATGCTATACGAGGTGATAGATATATAAAAGAGAATTTTGATGAACCCTTTGAGTTTTCGAGGTCCGTACTTCACATATAAGCTAGTACATAGTAGAAATATGACAAAACTACAAAAACATATACTGTTGAGCTAATCCAACTCATTGATATTTTCTTTATCAGTTTAAAAAATATATATTTAATGTTATTATTGAATGAAAATATAGTAAGGGTGTAGAAAAATCGATTTAATCAATAAACTGAATTGAAAAAAAATATTATTAATTTATTGATATTGGATTACTGACTAACGGGTTTTAAGCAGTTTCACAAATTTTTTATTAGGTTATTGGCTCGGTTTTCGATTTTATAATTTTGTTAATGGTTAAACCGATAACGCTATAAGGAGTTATGAACCAAAATAAGTCACAAAAATATAAAAATAACCAAAATAAGTCACTATTTTAGTAAGTAACTGAAATAAGCTTAGTGGAAGAAAAAGTTCCACTATATCCAATAATTTAAACGTTTTCCGTTAGTTTCATAACGTTTATTTTTAATATATAACGGAACTTTTTCGTTCATTTTATAAAGTGGAGTTTTTTCTTCCACTTTATAAAGTGGTACTTTTTATTCCATTTTATAAAGTGGAACTTTTTATTCCACTTTATAAAGTGGAACTTTTTATTACACTTTATAAAAATAATATTTTTCACGTCTTGAAGAAGCTTTTTCAGTGTTGTCATATAAATTATATTGATTTGATATGTCATTAAAACGGAAAAAAATATTTCATTATGTATTTTTATTATTTTATTCTGAAAAATCTATTTAAGGACGTTTATGCATAGTTGATAGCACCTACAACATAAAGTCTTCTATATTTGTTCATTTCAATCTAAAAAAAAATATCTTCTACACGTAAAGTTAAAGTTTCAATTTATTGGGATGGCGAAATTATACATGACGGAAATATCATTTATTATAATTGTCCTCCCAAACACAATGCTAAATATCCAATAAATGTCCGATATCATAAATTTATTTCATCAATTTATAAAAGAATGGGTATAAACAGTACGATTGTAATTTGATTATAGCCGGAAAATACCCTACTTCATTTTTATCACAAGGATAAGTAAATTTTAGAGAGTGCATTATATATTATGACGAATCGTTGACGACTTTTTAAGGGTTCCAAATGACAATATATAGATCAAATCAAGTCAACAATACTTGAAATATATGTTAGGAAGGAGCCTAAGATTAGTCAACAACGTTCTCCTCTATCGGTCGATGTTCATCCCTAATTAGAAAATCATAATAGCATTGATGGATTTTCGATAACTCAATCTACTGATTTTCCTAAAATGACTCATTAGCAAAATACTCTTACCGGCCGATATGATTTTGATTTAAACAAAACTACCGATGATAGTGATCAGTAATGCTCAATTAATATATTTCAATTATTGTTTGTTGATTTTGTCAATTATTTATTAATTTATATTATTTATTATTCTTATTATTATATATTTTGTAGCGGTTTACCTCAGCAAGATAGGAATATTGCTCCAAGTTATGAACTAAATAATTATTTTGGTCAGTCCTCACACTTTGAAATGACGAAAAATGTTGGGACATCCTCAAATTTTCATGTCTCGCCTACTTTTGATGCAGATGATTATCGCTATGTCTAACACTTATTTTTTTAAGTGAATTTTTGATGCAGATGACAATCTTCAAAGTGATTTTTTTTGAAAGTCATGAAAAGAAAAAGGAGAGAAGGTGAAGGTGAAGATGAAAAGGTAACTTTTTATAAAGTTGAAGATTTTCTTCCACTTTATAAAGTGGAATAAAAAGTTGCACTTTATAAAGTGGAAGAAAAAGTTCTTTATGTATTAAAAATAAATGTTATGACAGTAACGAAAAACGTTTAGAAAATTGGATATAGTGGAACTTTTTCTTCCACTTAGCTTATTTTAGTTACTTACCAAAATAGTGGCTTATTTTAATTACTTTTCTATTTTTGTGACTTATTTTTGTTCCCAACTCCGCTATAAGACTATACTAAATTTACTATTTTATCCCTAATCCAGTAAACCCTAATTATATAACATTTTACAAACTCTATTACTTTGATCTCAATATTACTTAAAACTTTAATTATTGTTATCATTCTGTAATTGCAAGCACACTTCTAGCTTGAATATATGCCAATTGCCTAGACTTGCTGAACAACAATCGTTACTTTTACACTTTTTTCTTTGAATGTGTCTAGTGTCTAAACTTAGCTAGAAAAATGATTGTTACTTTTATGATTATTACTTTCATGCCAAATGCTGAAAAGTCATATGGTCTATATGAAAAATTTCTTATTGTGTATATTAATATTTATGAGTATTTTTTTTATTGGTTAAATCGAAAATCGAACCGTTAATTATCATAAATCGATAAAAATATGTTATTGATTTGATTGTCGATTAAACTTATTTAAAAATTAAAAATCAAACCAATAACATATAAACTAAATCGAACCGACCGATGCGCACATTAAAATCTAAGATGTATTTGTTTCAAAAACTAGCCAGAAAATGTTTTCTCACCATCTTTTTGAAAATAAAGGCCACCAGACTCAAAGATGGCTAAAAGCTTAAGATTTGAGGCTAATTGAATGGGCCCTAAGATTCAATGCTAGCATATTGGGCCAAATTTATAGGAAGCTAAAGGTTTCACATTTGCTGCCGTCTCCTTCATCACCAGAAAAGGTATAGAAACCTGAAAAAGCTCTAAAGCTTCGCTAGTTGCTCATGGATATTGCTATGGCGTTTAGTAGAACTAACCAGCGAAGGAATTTGAATTCAGTTTCTAGAATCTGCGGCAAAGCAATCACGGCGGACAAACAGTTCATCCTTGTTCATTTGTGCGGCGGTGCAATTTTCGGAGCTTTCCAGCAAAGAGTCGATTCGATTTACGCCGGCTCAAAATCATACGGTACTCATTTAGGCGATGCAATTTCACTTGTATAAGAAACATGTTACTATACTATTTTACTTCTGTTTTTTTTTTGAATTGGAATTGAGTTCAGGTTGACAGTCGATTTTAGTTATATTCATATGCTATAGTGCTGATTTGTATGATGATCTCATCCAAAAGCTTAAGATGGTAGCGAGGAGAGGTCCAAGGATAATTTGATCTCTTAATTATGTTTGCAATGTATAGGATTATATGTATTGCATTTTGTTTGATTTGATTTAATTAGTTTATATTTGACAAAGTTATATCGTACTATGCTTCGTATGAGCTCATTGAAAACGGAAATACATTAAAGAAACAAGAACAAAGGTGGATGTTGACCTTGACCTTTTTTCTGGCTGAACACTCCTTGAAGAGTGTTGAGAGTGGTTTTTTTGGGTTTGGACTAGAGATATTTGGAGGGATTTGTTGAAAATTTAGGACTTCTGAAAAAAGGTAGCTTTTGACAAATTTTGGTGCTTAAGCCACAATATTTTTTTCCGTGGTTTGCTTCTTCTATGAGATGAGGATCAAGTGCTTATTATATGTCAAAAAATAAATAGAGCACAATTTGATTTCTTAACGAAACTCATCAAGTATGCTCCATGTCTGTCCATGAGTGACACGGTGCCCGCCATCACTTGGGCCTCACAACAAGTAGTATGTTGCATTACCCAACACCAACTCATGCAAACCACCTTCCGTTTTCTAAGATTCTCCGCCATAAAAATCACCCCTCTAGCAGCCTAGCCACGTGAATCAACACACCTTTGGAATCCAAACCAAAGTATGTGAAAGACTAACCTCTTTCCTAACTAGGAGCTTTTAGTTCTCATAAAAAACCTTAACTAAGGTCTAAGAATGAGTTGTTATCCTTTAGATCCCAACTCAAGGGGTCACACATGTCAATCGGCTCACCTTGCTTTTGGAGTAAATTAGGAATAATTGGAACTCGGTCACCTCATAATCCTAGAAATTCCTCCTAAACTTCATATCCAAAAAACTTCCATCGCATTGTGTTTTGTAATTGATAAATAGATGATTCTCTCTGGCAAGAGATTCTACACAACACCAAAATTCATCCTTAAGCATCATTCCTCCACACCATATTTGCCTGCTGAATCTAACTCTACTTGCATCTCCAACCTCAAAAACAATGTTATCAAAGAATGCATCCCACCATTTCATTATATTCCTCCACACGCCACACCCGAAAGACACTGTGATTTCATTTTTTCTCCATCCTCCTTGGGTTACACCATATTTATCCATAATCAACCCCCTCCATAAAGATTCTTACTCCACCAGAAATCTCCACAATTATTTACCCAAAGTACTTTGGTAAAAACCTTCAAGTCTTGGCCCCAAGCCCTCCCTACTGCTTAGGAGATGTCATGGTCTCCGAACTAACTAAGTGAAATTCCTTTGTCCCATCAACTGCATCTGAAAGGAAATTTCTTGCAATATTCTAGTTTACCAATCACCGTGACAAGTGCCTTGAACAATATAAGTAGGGATACTCAATAATGTGCTCTTAATAAGCACTTCCGTACCTTATTTGGATAAGTATCTTTTCTGCCAACTTGCTGACCTCTTTTTTACCCTCCAAATAATCAAATTCCAAACACCAAGATCCTTGTTTGGATCACCTAAGGTAAACCATAGTAGGCAGTAGTGAGAACCCTACCTACCTTGTAAAAATTCGGCAAACATGCGAATATTACTCATTGCACCGATGGGTATGATCTTACATTTTCTGCGGTTAATTTTATGTCCTAACACCGCCTAGAACCAATTCAAGACTTGCACAAGGAAGTCTAGCTGTATCTCATTTGAATCATATTTGCATCAAAGAACAACAAAGCATCATCTCCAATCAAGAGAGGAGAAGCCACCATGGTACCCGACTTTACTAAATTGCAACTTTAAAAGATTTGATATATTCCATCATTTAGTACAACATGGGTCTCTTAAAGAGGTTTGGGAAAATCATAAGAGTTTTGGAAAAATCTCATTTTCTCAATAGGATAAGCCTATGAAAATGTCTACAACACCTATACTTCAGCAATAAAAATGTTCTAGAAACTGCTTGAAAAGTAAACGCAAACAATGACTTTTAGGAACCCAAATCAACAAGATATTAAGTAGTGATTCAAGCAAAAGCTACTGAGTTGACTCTTCAAGCTAAAGTCACTAAAGTGATACAAAAAGAACCCTGGAGCCAAATGGACAATAATTGTTTGATTTGTAGCGGTGGAGTGAAAAATTGATGTAAGTTTTAAGAACCTAAGATCACTTCTTACAAGAATAATTGCATAAAAAAAATAAACAAACTAAAGTAGGACATAGAACATTTCAAAACAAGGAAAAAAAGTTGTAAATCTATTGGATACTATATGTCATCTAATAATCACCCTTGAAAAGGAAAGCAAGAAAAACTAATTTTACTAAAACTTATTGTTAACCCAACTCGATTCCGAAATAACAACTATACCAAAAAGGAAATAAGTTTCACTACATTGATAACAGTAAAATAAATGACAAATCAATTCATTTCATCTTATCTATGTTTGCTTGGATTGTTTTCTCTTTGACTAATAAATGAATTTTTCAGTTTCAAAAAAATTCATTGACCAGTAAAGAGAAAACAATCATAGCAAACATAGATCAAATGAAATGACAGCGCGCATGAGGATGAGACTATACCAAATCATTATCTCGAGATAATCCGAAAGAATTGTTTTCCAAAAAGGTCCCATGACACTAGTTACTTCAACGACAACGATTAACTTTTTTTCTATCATGTCTGGTCGGCTAATGACTCTTTTTTTTCAAAATTCTTAACTTTAAAGTTTCGCTAATGATTTTAAAGATTGATTGTTGTTCGCCGCCTATGATTTAATTTATTAGATGGTATACAAGTTAAAGGGAATATGGCTTAAACTGAAAATATATGTGTAGACAAAAACGTTTCGAAGGATCTCTACTGTAACGTATTTATGTTTTTTTTAGAGGCCCATCCAAATCTTCAAAAATCTCTAACGGACCTGTTGGTTTAAAGAATATTGAATTGGGCCAAGTCTTGTAGAGGCCCATCTTTAATCCAACAAAGTTTCAATGTCTACATATATACTTTCAGTTTAAACCCTATTCTCTTAATTTGTATGCCATCTAATAAAATAGAATCATAGGCGGCGAACAACAATCAATCTGTAGAATCATTAGCAGATTAAAATTTTTGAAAAGAAAGCATCATTGGCCGACCAGACATGATGGAAAAAAAGCTAATCGTTGTCGTTGAAGGCACTAGTGCCATGGGACCTTTTTGGAATACAATCCTTTCGGATTATCTAGAGAAAATGATTCGGTATAGTCTCATCCTCATACCCGCCGTCATTTCATTTGATCTATGTTTGTTATGATTGTTTTCTCTTTAATGGTTAATGAATTTTTTTGAAACTGAAAAATTAATTTATCAATCAAAGTGAAAACGATCCAAGCGAACATAAATAAGATGAAATGAATTGATTTGTTATTTATTTTACTGTTATCAATGTAGTGAAACTTATTTCCTTTTTGGTGTAGTTGTTCTTTCGGAATCGAGTTGGGTTGATGATTAGTTTTAGTGAAATTAGTTTTTATTGCTCTCCTTTTCAAAGGTGATTATTAGATGATATATAGTATCCAATAGATTTATAACTTTTTTTCCTTGTTTTGAAATGTTCTATGTCCTAATTTAGTTTGTTTCTTTTTTTTATGCCATTGTTCTTGTATGGGGTTATTTTTGGTTATTAAAACTCACATGAATCTTTCTCTTGTCATGTCAGTTACAGAGCAAACAATTACCGTCCCTTTGGTCTCTGGGTTTTTTCGGTTTATCTTTAGTGATTTTAGCTAGAGTAGTGAACTGATTAATTCTCACTTGAATGACTACTGAATATGCTGCTGGTTTGGGGTTCTTCAAAGCTGTTGTTTGATATGGTTTTTCAGTCAAACCAACTTCTAGAACATTGCTATTGCGGGAGTATAGGTGTTGTAGACATTTTTATAGGCTTATCCCATTGAGAGAATGATTTTTTGATATTTTCGAAAATACCCTTGTGATGATTGTACACTAAATTGACCGTTGTGCGATATCAACAATCGCGGTGCTTCTTGACTATTCAAAGATTTGCTTCTCTTTGATCTTTTTCATTTTAAAATTGTCCCCCCCCCCCCCCCCCCGATACTATTGTTGTTTTAGACCCTTAATTGCCTGCTTCTATAACATAAGAGAGAAAACTGAGAGTTTTATATTGTTGGAATAGCATTTTCTGCTTTCTTTAAATCTTAATTTGATGCTGTGAAACTATATCTTGATTTGAAATGTCAATATATGTTGCTTTTGACTTATAGGCTTTTGTAAAATTTTCAGGTCCTTCGCTGAAGCTGATTCAATAGAACAGGTTTGTAAATTCATGTTGTTCATCTTGTACACCTTTATTTTTTTTCGTTTTGAGTACTCCATGACGGTGATTGTAATGTTCAAATACTATATACTTGAATAGGAGTAGATGATATTCTATTACAACATGAGTTGAAGGTGATAATAAACTTATTTGTTTCTTTAAGCTAATTTTACTTTTTTTCTGTTGAAATTCCAGAACCCATCTGCTTGCGATGTAGAGCTGTCGTTGGTGGTCTTTAATGTGCATGATTCCAACTATGGTTTGTATCGATTTTGTTCTTAATTACCTTATATTTTTGGCTGACACCGTTGCAACTAAGTATGAACAGTTGTTGTGTCATTCACATAGAAAAACCTTCTTCAGACCATGCTATCTCAACTAGAAAAAGGAACAAACATGTGGAGCAATTTTTAAATAGATCAAGATCTCTATATTGTTAAAATTTGTCGGTGAATCATCTTAATAGGCATTTTATGGATTGTTTGTACAGTTGTCCACTCCACCATTTTTTTAAAAATAAAGGTAAAGTTTTATATTCAGCATTAAGGGTATGCTGGCTACTCCAAAAAGTTACAATATAAATCTAAATCCATAATTATATACATCCTAGAAAGTATTCTGCTTCTTCTATACCTTCTTCTTTACACCAAAACAACATGTTAATGGAATTTTCTTGAACTTTCTGGATAATGTTAGTGATATTCTCATGACACCTGAGGTTTCTTCTCTCCAAATAGCCCACCAGGCACATATAGGTACTATAGATCACCATCTTTTTTGGGTCTTGCTCCTCCCCTCCTCATCCAACAGCTCAAAAGATCAGCGGTGTGTTCTGGCATCATCCAGGGCTCTTGATAAATGCTGAGAACCATGTGCTACACCTGAATAGTAATCCTACAGTGTAGGAATAAGCTGTTGTTAGTTTCTTCCTTCTCGTGACAAAAAAAGCATCTGGAGACAATCTGGAAGCCTCTTTTCTTGAGATTTTCCTGTGTGAAACATGCCCTTCTGGAGACGAACCTGGTGAAGCATTCTGCCTTGGTTGGAGTGTTGCCCTTCCATATTTGTTTCCATGGACCAGGAATTCCTCCTGTGTGAGTCCTTATCTACTCACAGATAACTTGCCATCAGAGTTGTGTTTCCATTTTATTCTAAATGCTTCTGTAGTAAGGCATGTGAATTCACCCAATTTGAGTAGCAGTTCAGCAATTCTATCCACTTCCAAATCATTTAGATTTTCTCCTGAAGGTGAGGTTCCATCCCCCTGAGGAGACCAAATCTCAGCAATTTTAGCATCAGGATTGGTACAAAATAAAAAGTGATCTGGGAAGACCAAGTTTAGACACTGTTGTCCAATCCACTTGTCCTTCCAAAAAAATATTTTGTTACCCTCTCCCACTTTGAACACCAAATTCTATTTCAGACTAGACAATTATCTGCTATGTTAGACACCCACTCCTTCTTCTGCCCATATTTGTTGAGAATTACTCTTCTCCATAATGCCTGATCTTCAACCACAAAGCTCCCAAGCCATTTAGGAAGTAGAATTTTGTTCTGGACCCTCAAATTTTATACCAAGACCTCCTGTCTTCTTGCTTAGTAAGGCTGTTTGCCATCGTGTACTTTTTTCCCTTTTTTTATTCCCCGACCATAGAAAATCACGTCTCAGTTTATCTAGCCTCTCTTCTACCTTTTGCTAGTAAAGGGAAAAGTGACATTACATATGTAGGCAACCTTTCCTGAACCGAATTGATCTGAGTGACTCTTCTTCCCAGAGATAGATAATTTGCCTTCCAATTAGCCAACCTCTTCTCTGTCTTCTCAATGATTCCATCCCAAATCTTAAGCTCCTTATGTTATTCCCCGAAGGCATTCCTAGGTAAGTAGTTGGTAAATGCTCTATCTTGCATTCCAAGCTGCTTGCCAACATCTGTATATTTGCCACTTCCTTGATTTGGAAGATGCTGCTTTTCCTTCAGTTCACGGCCTGCTCGGAAATAGCCTCGAAATCACCAAAACAACTCTAATGTAACTAACTTGTTCTGTCTTTACATTGCAAAATATTACTGTGTCATCTGCATATAAAAAGTGACATATTTGCATATCAACCCCAAACTTGTTACCTATGTTGAAACTCTTTATAAGTTGTTCAGATTGGCCACTCTAATCATACCGTTAAGACCCTCCATAGCTAAGATATATAGGAAATGGGAGAGAGGATCTCCTAGTAGTAGTCCTCTCTCGAAGGGAAAAAACTAGCAGGTTCTCCATACGTATGGAGAACCTGACAGTTTTGATGCAAAAACCTATCCATTTAAGCCATTTGTCTCCAAATCCCATCTGCTTCAGAATATTAAGTAGAAACTCCCAATTGACATGATCATATACCTTTTCTATATCAAGCTTGCACATTATTCCTGGGATCTCTCCTTTAATCCTTGAGTCCACACACTCACTAGCTATTAACACAACATCCATAATTTGCCTACCTTGAATGAAGGCCATTTGGTGATTGTTCACTAATTTGCTTATCACTTTCTTTAATCTCTCGGCCAACAGCTTACCAAACACCTTGTACACACCACTAATGAGACTTATGGGTCTGAAATACCTAAGTTCCATAGCTCCTGTCTTCTTTGGGATTAGAGCCACATAGGTGGCATTGAGGCTCTTCTCTATTGCAGTCTTTTGTGAAATTGTCTCACTGCATCCATGAAGTTTGTCTTCAGTATCTCCTAGAAGTTTTGGAAAAGAACTCATTGGGAAGCCATCTGTTTCGGGGGCCTTATCATGATTTTTTGCAATTAAAAACTTCATCTTCCTCAAATTGCCTTGGCAACCATTCATTTTCCTCTTGTGTAATGCTTTTCGCTCGCTGTAGATTAATATCTGGCCTCCATTGTTCTGTTTCACTGTAAAGATTTTTGTAGTAACTGATTATGTATCCTTTAATTGCTTCTGAATCTGTTACTGTAACCCCCCTTCTACCATCAACTTGTCAATAGTGTCAAATCTTTATGGGTTGTAGCCATCCTGTGGAAATACTTGGTATTTGTCTCCATGTTTGAGCCAATGTACTCTAGACCTCTTGCTCCTAGCTATTTCCTCATTTTTTGCAACGTCTTCAAACTCCATTGAAAGATGTACTTCTAAAGTAAATCATCCTCTGATAGTAATCTCAACTCCTTAGTCTTCTCTACAATTGACAGCTGATTCATAATTTCCCTTTTTCTCTGATTCCAGTTGTTCCTATTCTCCATCTTCCATTCTTTTAGCTTCCCCTTTAGCATCCTCACCATTATTAGAACAGTCTTCTTCTTTGATCCTCGTGTGCTCCATGTTTAGAGAAATATTTCTGTATGTGATTTCCGTATGTCAAATATTTATTGCAACGGAAGAATTTGTTAAATTTGTGTTATTCGCATGAGCCATGAAGTAGACAAAGAGGAAAGAGCCTAGTTGGGTAGGCTTGTAGCTTATGGCTTATAAAACTTTGACGGGGTAATGCATCCTAATTTAATATTTTGAGGCTTCTTTCACCTCTCCTTGCGTAAGAATAAGCAGATTTTTCTTTTTTCTTTCTGGTTGATGTTTCATTTTTCTCCATCTTCTGTTTCACCATCTCTTACACAGCTTGCATGTTACAAAAAAGTGGCTGGACAAAAGACAGAAATTTGTTTTTCCAGTGGCTATCAGCTCTACCTTTCTCAGGCGGTGGTTTCAATGATGTTGCCGCTGCAGAAGGCCTTGCTGAAGCATTGATGGTGTGTTTTACTGTTTATGATGTTTTGAAGCATTTCTGATATTATGAGCAGTAGTTTACTTGGTATACACATCTCGTACTATTTTATTTTCTATTACACCCTTCCCTCTTTGTGCTTCCTTTTGCTTTCTTGGGAGTTCTGTGAGGTCCATATTATTATCAATTATATTTTTTTTGTATATTCTATACCATTACTCACCAGGCTAGCTAACTTGGGATTGAGGCGTAATAGTTTTTGCTCTTTGTTATGCTACTGCTGTTCAGAATAGTGAGGATAAGTTTAAGTTTCACATAAAACTTTGTAGATGTGTAGACAATTAGCTAGTAAATTATTGCTTGTTTTTGCTGCTTTCTGTTTATTTGAAGACCCTATTGATTATATGATATTTTATGTAGGAGGGAAATCAGCAGAAATGTAGTTCTGCCTTAAAGTTTGTGAACTACCAACATAAACTGAAGAACGGCACTTCCCTTCTCATTACCTAGATTCAACTGTTTTTCATTGGTTTACTTCATCCTTGTACAAACCAGATTTCTTTTCCTTTCACAGTTCATTTACTAGTATGAATTGTGCTTCATATGGTTACTATAAGTTATATTCATTTATGATACATTGTAGATATAGTTTGACATGTGCGTTATATAGGATTAGAAAGTTACTTTACCTTGCAAAAATAAGACGATATTAGTAAGTTTGAATGGGCTAATATATTTGACTTTGTTTGAAGTAGTAGTTGGAGGATGTAAAAGAGTGTACATATGTCGCTCAACAACCAACCTGTCATAATTTAGTATTGTTATGTGAACTTAATATTTTAAGATCATAAACCTTTTCCATTAAGGAAAGAGGTCATTTTGGTTTTGATTCTCGTTTATCCTCCCCATGTTCGCCGAACAGGTTTTGCATGTAAGTAGTTGCATTAGTTGGTTCACACAAATTTCCACCAACTAAAATTTTCAAGTGCTTTATTAGGTCATGAAGAGTAAAAAGCTTTATCTCTGCTCTCACTATGTTGAAATATATATGTTCTCCCATGTAGTGTTTTCTTGGAGAAAGGTTTGGTTTTGGTGTTTGCTAGTAAAGTTTAGTTTAGTTTTATTTTTCCTTCAGGAGAAAAAGAAGAAGAGTGTTTGGATTTGGTTTTGTGAAGATTGATTTTACTTTGGGGAGTTTCGGTTTTGCTCATAAAGCCCTAAAACATATTAGAGACTTTCAAAATTGGTGAATAAATAAGGAAATGCCTCCTTGTTCTTATAGATGGATGAGTAGGTTTGTCAGGAGATCAAAAGTAGACATACACGATGGTACTTAAATGATCTTCCTTACACATGCTTTGGGTCCATACTGGTGATAATGCATTGATATTTCATTTATTAAGAGAAAGTGCTTTTAGTTTAAATCAGACTTAAACTGACTAAGCCTCTTTACCTCCTACTTAAAGGTTCTTCTGTATAAGCTAGTAGATTTGAATTGGGGAAAGCAAAACTTTTTTTTTAAAAAGAAAGATCCAAGAAAAGAAGTGTACAGAAATGGGTTGAAGGAAGGATGAAGAGGAGGTGGGTTGATGTTGAAACAGAAATGCCAATGTGCTGTTTTATTTTTGGAGTTGGTCACTGTGATTGTCTGGTATAAAAACCAGACAAATGGTTGCCAATACTTGCAGCTTTAAGTTTATTTTCGGCCTATATCGTACTGTAGGAGGAATTGATTACATGTGGATGGAATTTCTTTCTGTGTTGGAACACAATGTGACCTGAACTGCTCCTAAGTTGCTCACATAGCCTTCCTCTGCAAAACAAATTTATTACTTCCTCATACTGCATGTATATATTCACTTGACTGATTTTTCATTCAGATGTTTTCTTCACTCAAAGATGCTGATGGGCAAAGACATTGTATTCTTGTTGCTGCAAGTAATCCTTATCCATTGCCTAGACGAGTTTATTATCCAGCTATGCTGAATCTGGAGCAGAGTGATAATGAAGCACATACCAGTCTTCGACTAGCTGATGCTGAGACAGTTGCAAGGGCATTTCCTCAGGTACTGGTTGATAACCCTTTTTCCTCTTCAAAACCATGGTGCTTCCCTCATATTCCTCCGCTGAATGTTTCTTTTTTCTTGCAGTGCTCTGTTACCCTCTCTGTTATATGCCCAAGGAAGCTTCCCAAATTAAGAGCAATATATAATGCGGTAATTACGGACAATTTTTCATTGAGATTTTCCCCTTGTTTTTAGGGTCAGAACCTGTTGACGATATGTTGAAGTGATACACAGTAATTGCTTTGCATGTCCATTGAAACTCCTGCCTGTAGGATTATTAAAGAGTTGCTAAATTTGGGACTCATCTATAATAGTTCAATGTTGAAGATACAGACTGTATAGTGATGGTATCATATAGTTTTTTTTCCCTTTCAATGAGTGCACATAGTCTTAAGTTGCATGGAATGTTTGTTAGAACTCTTCTTTTAAGTTTTTTGCTTGGGTGGTTAAGCCATCAGGAGCATCCCTATTGTTCAAAAATATGGATTTAGGATAGCAAATGCGAATTTGATAGCAGTGCCAAAGCCAGGAATTTATACCAGGGGGTTTCAATTAAACAATAAAATATCACATTGGGATTTGAACGTTTGTTGCAACTTCACTTTACTTTTCCTTATCGAGGGGATTCCACAGCTTATATATATACCAAACAAAATTGTTATTGTCCTATATGCATAGTATATTTTTTCAATGGAGTGGATTCAATAACTCACTTGCTACACCACTATTTATTAGTCTACACGCCGTTATTATTTGTTATTGTTTTGTCTTCAGTAGATAAAGGTGATCTATGGTGAAGTTTATAGTCACACTTATTTCAAACTCACGGTGCTTGTTTATCATAAGTAAAGATTTACCAAGTGTTCCAGCAAATAGGTTCTTGCAAACTTTGTTGCCAATTTAGAGTTGCCACCATTTAGGGAATTTTGGATAACTTATTGGTTTCTCATTTGTAATCTTGAAATCCCCATGCTAATTTTCTTGCTTGACATACTAGGCCATGATTTCTGTCTTTAAATCCTTTCATCATTCAGAAGAATAAATTTAAATCCTGCTGACTTATCATGCAAAGCTAACCTGATTATGTTTTAGTGCTGCTGATTTGAAGTAGGAAACATACTGTCCCTTCATTTAGTTACCAATACTAAGTGCAAACTTGTCTTGATCAGGGAAAACGCGATCAACAAGCAGCTGCCCCGACCGTTGATATGTGTAAGAATCCAAATTTTCTTGTATTAATTTCGGAAAATTTTAGTGAGGCCTGTGCTGCTTTCACTCACAGTGAAGTGGAACGTTTAGCGCCAAGCCAGACCCTGGTTGAAATGGATATGTCTTCTGTGCCTCCAGTTTCCAGTCCAGCCTCAACTTCTAATCCAGCAAGTCAGGCAAATTCTGGAACTCCTCTTGCATACATGCCTGGTATGATGTTTTCTCTGGATAGTGTTATAGATATGCCTGATTCATTTTAGATGTGCTTTTTCTGTTGAAAGAAGATTATTTTGTGAATATAAAATGAGAAGTACCTTCTAGAGGAGAAGTCCATAATTAAATGATGAATGAAAGGGAGTGATTGACAAGAACTGCACCACAGTGAAGTTAGACATACCACAACATATCTACCATATTTGGAAGAAGTTAATTAGCTGGATATAATTTGGGTTTAACATCTTAAACTTTTCATTACTCTTGATCGAATCCAGACAGAAGAAAAGCCAAATAATAATACCAACAGTTACAGTAATAACAGTAGTATCAATAGTAGCAGCATAACAATAGATGATCAAGAACGAAGATGATAGTGAACCATCACAAGTCAGGATTAATGTGAATGCTTTCGATCTATTTTTCCATTTTGTTCTTCCTAATGCTGTTGCTGATTAATTTGTTTTAACTGCTGGTGTTGGGCTAGACCTTTTAGCTAGATGACTTATTGCTTAATGGATACAGTTCCTCTATTGCTAATAGCCTAATATTTGTCTAATATATGTCCACCCCCCTGTCTCACTTGTTTGAGGCATAAAAGTAGTCGGACCTTTTCATTTCTTCTTCTTAATCTCATCTATCATTGTCCTTTTCTGATGTTGGGTTGAGTTGTATCTCTGCATGAATACCGTCTTACTTTTCACTTCATATTAATGCAAATCAAAATTAATGAGTGTCTTCTGTGACATATGTAAACGGCTTCAATGTCTATAGTTGTTGGTGCATAAATCTTATGTAGAGCATCTTATGATATATTAGTGATTCACTGAGTTTTGTTGAAGGAGCTTTGACTCTTTTCCGTTACCTTTCAGTTTTGAATCAACAACCAATTTCAGCCGGAAATATTCCTCTGGGTAAGAATAATAGTGCAGAGGCTAACATGTCTCTGTCTCAGCAGCAAACATTGGCTACAGTACCATCAGCTCAATCAGGTTATGTCAAATTCTGGGAGGTAAGGCCAACTATAATAAGTAGATCTGGAAAGCTTATGGATTAGGCTAAAAGATGTCTTTACTTTTGAAGAAGATTTATTTTAGAAATTTTCCTGTTATTTGGTGTAACCTCGTGATCATTGTAGTGTAACGACAAAGTTCTATAATCTGAAAGATTTGTATGGTGGTAGAGTTTTGTTGTTTACTGCTCATATCTGTGATGACCACTTCCGAATTCTTTTAATGGGATTTTCTGAAGTCACTTTGAAGGTTTCAATTGACTGCTAATATCATGCTCCTTTTCCTAGACACCAACTGTGCAAACATCACATCCAAGTTTCATCCATCAATATCTGGGAGATTTGCTCTTGTAAAGTCCGAATTGATGTTACTTTACTTTATTAAAAAAAAGGTCTGAATTGATGCTTTACTATGACCCTAATATCCAGTTTCCAGTTACTCACCCTTGAAATGAAGTTGCTCCATTGATAATTGTTTGACCAGTAATTAACGTAAGAGAATGTTGACCAGTGATGTCGGAAATTTGTAAAAGGCAGTAAAGAAATCAAACTAATTTGAAATGTGTCCCAGTTCAACAAAATTCGGTGATGTGTTCAAGTTCTTAATCATTTGGTTGCTCTCTTTAGTGATGTAGTCTCAGAGAGTTTTAAGTTAGGATTATGAACAGTATACGGTAGCAGAAAATAAAGCTGTAAAATCAGAGGATGGCTCATTGAGAGGGAGGGAGGGGGCTTGCCATGCAAAATCCTAACGGAACAATTATTGAACAATACTTAAACATGAACTGACTAGATGAACATTTAGCATATAGTTGCAAGATGATGCTTAAGCTTGATACTGGATGAGTACTGAATTTTTCTGATAAAAGATGAGTATCAAATTAATTACTTAAACCAAAGTAGTTAACATGGCATCTTAAGATGTCAAAGTGAAGTAGTATAAGCAGAACATGATAAACAGGCTTTTTCGCACATCAAGAAAATTGGCAGTCAGAAAGGGCCATATATTATTTTCGTTGTTGAGCCATAGACGATCCTTTTAGCTGACAAGGGCAATAGTAAGAAGTCAGCTAGGTGTCTTACTTTTTCTACTAAAAATATGGTACTTATTCTAGTGACCTAATCTTCCTTGACAATTCGGAGAAGTGCTAAGTTGCTTCACATGTATTGCGAAAAAACGACTAGTACTATTTAGTATGATGTTACTTCAGTTTTATTTACTGGAACAATAACCAAACTTTTGTGACCTTTATGGAGAAGAAGGGGAGAATTGGCTTTTTAGGTCACTTGCAATTTTTTTAGTTTTATGTTTTTATTACAATTTGCAAGTTATCTTCACTTCTACACATAAGAGATCTGAAAAGGCCATTTTCTTCTGTTCTTTTAGAGATCTTAATTCCTCGAGAAAAAAGTTATTTGTGATTCAATAGGTAAATTAACCTTTGTGTGTACTGGACTTTGCCAATAAATTGTGACAAGGCCTGGTAGGACCAACAAAGTAGAAATTTGGAATTCTCATAACACTACTATGAAAAGCAGAATGTGTTTAGTGTAGGTATTTCCTCATGAATTGCATGAGTTCAAGTTATTGACTATGTTGGCAAGTGGGATTGTTATTGCTGATATCTTCAGATGTATTTTTCGGTGTATGTTTCCATAATGGAGATTTGGTGAACTTTTTAGTCATCCACATGCTTTATTCCTTTTTCCAATATTTGTCCTTAGTGATTAACCGCAGGCTACTGCATTTTGACATGATGTTGGTGAAGCATTGCTAACATTTTGATGAAAATGTTTCAGGGAAATTTATGTATGGTGAGGGAGGGTCAACCCCAACATATTTTGAGACTACAGGTGAATTTTAATTTGTCTTGTGTGGGAAGTTTTCTTTAGAATTTTGTTCCTTTCGACAATTTTCATTGTTAGGTGTTAAAACCCACAGGATGGCGCTCCAATTTTTATTTGATAGATAAAGTTCATGTTGAGGTATTATGTAGTTCTGATCCCAGGCTTTGGTCTAATGGTAAGAGCACAATCCATGATGTGTACTTGTGTAGGTTAAGCACAGATCACGGGTCGAACTTTTCTCTAGATAAATTCTTGGTATTTAAGTGGATAAGGACAGAGGGTCCGACTCCTTATCTACCGAGTTTCTAACCATGAACTAGTGACCCTTGGGGATTTCTCGTTTTTTTTATTATTGAAAATCTATTGTGTACTTCCTTTTTCTTTTAAAATGTCTATTTGATTCTTTGCTGATTGAGTAAGATCTTGTGGTTTATTTTCTCTCGTGGCAGGGGTACAAGAAATCTTCAGCTTCTGAATCGTAAGTACATTTTCATTAATGCTTGTTTCAACTGTCCAACATTTACAATTCAAGTTAATTGCAATGGTAGTAACCCCTCGGTTCAATGAAGCTTCAGAATTCTTTCTCCTCGTGTAGGAGAGTGTATCATTATGTTTCAAAGTTAAGATGGTATATAGATGGCAATATTTATCACGTAAAACTAAAGAACTGATGTTGAGGACTGAACTCAAAATTAAGATAGATTTCATTTCTTGTGAACTTAACCGCTCAAGTTCTTCCAACAGCAGCAAATTTACTCTTGTAGTAATGAAAAGGAGAAAGTGTAAGACCTCATTTGTTTACAGTCAATGAAGGTTTAGTTTTCAGATCTTAGTCATCAAGTCTTTTGTTTTTTGGTCTAAATCTATTCAGATATTGAACTTTAACAGTGTTTGTTCTTTAATTTTACAATCACTTTGTGGATCTGAATGATCAAGATCTATAACTGGTAACTTAATATTTCACAAAAAATTACATTTGCTGAAAGTACTTACAGAAGTCCTATAAAGGCCCGTTCTTCTGCACTGCTCTTTAATTTTACAATCACTTAATGTCTTTTTCCTCCTCTTTGTTTATCTTGATGTCGTCTTTGATCAACCATTAAAGTTTCAAAGTGTTGGACTATGTTGATACTTTGAACTGTTTTTTTATTTTTCTCAGGTCTGCTGCAAATTTGCCCCAAACATTGCAAATTCGCCGCTTTATGCTCAAAGATCATATGTTTCAACTGTAATTTTTCTGAGTCAAAACTTCTTATCTTGTTGGATCTTCTTCATTTATCAGATATTGGTTCCTGTTCAGTCATGCAAAGTACAAGTTACAGCTCCTTAAATTTTGTGACATTTATGCTAGAGTTAGAGAGTGCACCGGAAAGGCAGATATTCTAGCTTTTTGGGCAAGCGACTGGCATGGAGTTCTTAATGCTCTGCACGAAAAGAACTTAGTAAGTTTTCTCAAGTCTTAAAGATTTTGCGAGTAGAGCAGAGTTCAGTTATAATTCATTATGCTAGAATATTAGAGTCTGTAAGAGGTATCGTTAAGTTTTTAAAAAGAAACCCAGAGGCTTATTCCCTCAAGTATGTTCTTAAGTTCCCATAGATATTCTCAATTTCGGAGCCACTAAGTAATTTCTAAGAATATTTACTAGTTGATCATTTGAGTTGACGAAACATGCCACGTGCAGCCCGTTTCAATCGGTGGCTCTGATGGTTTGGCTTGGGACATCCATAATGGAGGTCTCAAGTTTGAAACACCTTGCTTGCGACAATTGCCTAGTGTGGTTTACCTCTGTATGGTTTGCGAGCTATTGCATTGGAGTAGGGTCTTACCTCTCTTGTGTGCCTAGGGACGGACACTTTGGCTGGCACGGCTGCCAATAGCAGAAGCTATTTGAGTCTCTACCAAGATCTTATAGGCTTTCATACCAGGCAAAGTAAGAAAAGGAGTGGCGACTGAGGACCATCCACCTCTTTTAGATTTTTCAGCGCGTCACTGAGATTTAGCGATCCCCCCTTTTTTTATTCTGACTAGTAGTATTTATCTGATGAAATGATCTTCTTTTTCCCTTTGGCAATTCTTATTTACAATGTATGCAAATTGAATTCATTCACTATTGAAATTTGCAAGGTCTAATGACTGTTCTCTGAACTATCTACTGAAAAAATTGTGTACCTCTGCCCTTTACCATAGTTCTTTTTTATTTCCTTTGCTGAGAGGGTGGGCGATCCACAAATCTGTCTTTTATGTATATGCGATACTTTATAAGGAGTACTTATGCAGTTTTTTTAGTCTGAAATCTCAACTGACATTTTTCTCTTTATATTTGTTTAGTCTGCAGTAATTCAACTACCATCACAGACATTGTTCATCCATGCTGATAAAAGAAGTTTTCCCTTAATTGGATTGCTTTTATCTAATGAGGTAAGAAACCTTGACATACTTTGAATCTTTTGATTACATGATCATTGAATGGAGCTATATGTTTTGTGATATCTCAAATTCATGGATGTTTGAATTTTTTCAGAACATCAGGTCTAGGCCAACGATACCCAACCAGCAGCTACGAGCACAACCACCTCCCGGAATGCAGCAGCTGCGGCACAACCAATAACTGAGGGCGGACTCGGATAACCAGGATGGCTAGAATTTTTGAGTTTTGATGATGAAATGTAACAATGAATTTGACTACCAGCCATTGCAGAAATTTTCATCAAGCTTAAGCAGCAGAAATTTCTATTACTTAGCTATTGAGTTTTGAACTCTTTTTTCATGCACTGTTGGAGAACTTGGCTTCCCAGACCTCACATTGTGGGATGCTTGTTAGCTATTCCTGTTGAAACTATTGGATTTACAAGTTGAAAAACAGAAGTTTCATTTTTGTTATTTTTACCTTTTTAACTTTAAATATTTTTCGATTATAGATTTCTCTCTAGTTAATGTAGGATCTATTGGTGTGATCCAGTGATCAATGAAGTAGGTTGAGCACCATGAGGTCTCAGGTTTAATTCTTTAGATTAAAAACATGATTTTTCTTAGACGGCCAAGGTGCCCTCAACCTAAACAACGAGAAAGACAAAAAATGTTTGGTGCTTCTTCTCATTTGTTCTAAACTTTGGTGAAAGTTACTTGTTGCTGGTAGGAGGTGGTTGGCGTATTCTATGGAATTAATTGGGCTTCTTACCGTTTGGCTAACTATTTTACAAATATACACAACAAATACATGTATGTATATTATGTGTACATGTTCTGTACATTAGATAGTTTAAATTCCTCCTTTCAATGAGACTTTCTTAGCTTGTCAAACTCGCTCCTTCACTAGAAAAATTTATCAGATCGAATGGCCTTTAGACACATAATTAACCCATTTAAAATCTTCAAATTCAAATTTGTTAGGACAAAAAGGTACTGATTAAATAAGGCCACTAAAATAAGAGGGCCCTTTGAACAAAATCAATTCAAGAAAAAGATGTTTTTTTTCTTTAATTTGTGTGAACTTTGAACATGATGAATGTAAATGTCCCACCTTTCTTCTAAAGACAAATAACAAACATAACTCCTTTCACATGTTGGATTCTTATACCCAAAACAATTTAAAATGATCAACTAAATTAAAGGTCTTAAGTGTCCATGTGGTGCAACTTTTACGGTCAATTTCATTTCTCTATTGCATTTTACAAGTATAGGCTATAGTATACTTATCAAGCTTTTTGAAAGTTAAAAAGTGTCTAATTTCTTAAAAACAATTTTGGGTAAAGAGTTAAGGTAGTAGAATATATTCCCAATTTTTTCTTCACATACCTTTTGAAAATTTATAAATAAAAAGAGTAATTTAGTAACTTCATTCAACAGGTTATATAATAAAATTATCATTTTATTTTATAAGGAACGTGAAAGTTAAACATAAATAGGCAAAGACAGACAAAAGATGTAAATGACGTTGTCATGGGCGGAGCTATATAATAAAATTATCATTTTATTTTATAAGAAACGTGAAAGTTAAACATAAATAAGTAAAGACAGAAAAAAATGTAAATGACGTTGTCATGGGCGGAGTCACCTTAGGCAAAAAAAATAGTCTTATGCAACATCCTTTGTTCAAAAATTATAACAAAATTAACATACTGTTCGTCAAATTTTTGACTCTCTTATCGAACATTAAACAGTAATGTATGTGAGTTTAATACACCAACTTTCAATACACTGGAATTTGACACTTCATTGGAACAAGTGCATCATAATAAATTTGTGAGTTATGACTAAGAAAAATATGAAGAGAGAAAAAGGTCCTCAAAAAAGCTGAAGAAAAATTCAATTGAACATATTTACTCACTTTGTTCTTTATTGCAATGGACTCAACTACTCAAGGAGTACTACCTTATATTCCTATGTTTTATTTATTCTTTTTCTTGTTTTTTTTTATTTTAAAGTGATATTTCACTAAATTTGTATGTGCTTCGATTATTTTGACAGAATTAGCTATATATATGTCCAACAAGTAGAGGAGCACTTTTGACCCAATATTTTGATGGGAAGGATAGTTTTGAGCCAAAATATGATTTCAGGATATATCTGAGCTATTTCATATAGTTTGAGGGTATTTTTCCCTTTTCCGTATTTTTATTTTAAAAAGTCTATTAAATACGTACAAATATTAAAGTTTGTTCAAATGAACATCTCTAATCTAACTTAGTCTTGGAACAAATCGTCTAATATTTTTATTTCTAATGAGAGTTAATTGGTAACATCTCACAAATTTATTCACTTTATTAACCGCTAAATCACGGTGACGCGATATCTTAATTGGTTTTTTTTTTCTCCCTTTCGTTTCTTTTTTTGCATGCGAGCTGTGTTTTCTTTATTTGATATTTTTAATTTTTTTTTATGGTTCTTACTTTGTGAATTATAATGACTTTTTAAAAAATGTAACTATTGGTTCTTTTCTTATGAGAAACTATTGTCAATCAATTTTTATATTCTATAGTTTTGAGAATCTCTGGCTTTATTCCTTGTTTTTTCTTTTATGTATATCTGTTTTATTCCCTCCTAATTTTATCTAAAGGATATTGATTTGGTGGTAGGTTTATATATTACTCTCTCCGTTTTATTTTATGCAAGTTAATTACGAGTATAAAAGTCAAAATTATATAATTTTGTGTAGATAAGAATTTTAACACCTTCAATATTTTAAAATGTTTACATATTAAGAAATTATATTAAAAATGTACTATCGTTGTAATAATTCACAACTTAAAATATTTAATTTTTGTTTTAATGTAAAACCCCCTTTTGACTTTCTATGTGATAAAATTATAGTGAAAAAACTTACTCGCATGGGTGTTTAAATCAAACAAATACAAAATTCATTATTACGGAATTTAATGAAGTAAAATAAATTATAAATTTAAACACATGACATGTATATATTAGCTTAGCATAAATAATCGGTGCGAGTAAATTTTGAGTAAGTGAGACTAATTTCTATCTATTTTATGTTTTGTACATCTGTTTTATTCTATTCTAATTTTGTCCAAGGATATTAATATATATGGTGGGAATTTTATATATTAATTTTTTCCCTAGCCTCTAATAGTGCAAATTCTTTGCTTTTTTCCTTCTTTTAGCTAGTGTGGGGCTTGTGGTTGAATATATACTTTATATACCCTAATAATTTATAGACAAATTAATCCCCCCAATGCTTCATTTGATTTTATGTCATGATTGATTTTGTAGAATCCCTAGTAAATGGAACACTTCACAAAAAATGCAATACCCTTTAATGAACATACATCTTCTAATCTTTTTAATAGATTATGTGGTGGTACAAAATTGCTTCTCTATAAAGTTAAACCATTGTAATGATGCCAAGATAAGTACAAATCACCTACCAACTAAAAACCTTTTTTTTTTTATTATTATCATTAGTCAAGTCATGAAATATTGAAATTCTTTTACTTTTTTAACTCTTTACATGAAAATGACCATATTTGGAGCTTTATAGTTTTTTTCCATAAAAAAAAAAAAGGATAATAGTGTTTTTGGTCTCTTAATTATTATTGGTAGATTTTGATTTTAATCCTTCCAATATATGTGTTTTGATCTCTTTTTGTAGAAACTATGTTATATTTAAATTGTTTTTAGAACTATGAAGTAACAATAATTAAGTGATAAGACAACTTGATATCTTTATAGATTAATAAAAATATTCATAAGCAAATGGATCGAGAATATATACATGTTTTAAAGGCATATAATGTACTTAGTCAGATATCAAAAAGATTAAAATTAGGGTTAATCAATAATGAACCAAAAGTGATAGTAACAAAAATTAAAGAATATATAGTGACTTCCAATTAATTTAAGAATTTTATATGAACTTATAAAACAAAAGTGTTTAAAGTCATTGGCTCTCATAGCATATATGTTGCTTGGAAAAGAAACTTTTCCTCTCTTTTATGTAGTTGGTAGGTAGTTCACTAATAAAACTACACTATCTTTTACGTTATTCGGCTTTTTCAAAAATATTATTCGAACATATATTTGGATCTTTTAAAAAAAATTGCACCTTTTAGAAATTCAACATGGTTGCAGAAACATTTATGAAGGATTTGGACAACGTAGTATATCCAACACGGATGCAATAATATTTGTAGTCATGATATATTTCAATATCAAAGCAATATCATTATAATAAAAATAATTTTTAGCGATGATAAATATTTAACCTATTTAGATATGTAACGAAGACATTGAATAATTGAGCTATAAAACTCGGTTAAGAATGGCTCAAACGTTTAGGTGTACACTTTATTTTTTTAAACAAAAAATAGTGTACATCAACTACTCAGTGAAGTGTGTTTGGATAAATTAATAGTGATTATATATATATAGTTTATGCAGGTAAAATTAACAATATATAGTTGAGGTGTGACAGCAATAACAATAACAATAACAATATATTTAGTGAAGTTTTACTGAGGTTTGATAAAAATAAAGTATATGCAGATCTTGTAAAAAAATTCGAGTAAAGAAAGAAGAAAGCATATCAAATAATAAGAAAGACATAAAATATATATTGGACCCTAAACTTGACTTAAAATTTTAACTTTGACCTCAAACTTTCATAGTGCACAAATAGACACTATAACTATCCTATCGTTCAACAAATAAGTACGCGATTTGTGAAGCCAAAGTGCGTGAAATGCAAACTCTCACACGTGTATTAGTGAGCCAATTAGTGGCTGTCAACTAACTACACATTTTACATGTCTTTTTTTAAAAAAAATATCTTACATGTCATTTTGAAACTTAAAAAAATTAAAATTAATTTTAATTAATATGAAAGAGATTCATTAAGGGTAGAATTGTCATTTTCAGCATTTTTTAACCTTTGTGGGCCTCAAAAATTACCCCTCACTCGCGCAGAATTCGTGCATTTCACGCATTTTGCCAGGTAGAAATCGCGTGTTTATTTATTAAAAGATGGAATAGTTAAAGTGTCTATTTATACAATATGAAAGTTTGAGGTCAACGTTAAAATTTGAAACTAAGTTTAAGATCTAATATATGTATTATGCCACTAAGAAAAGTAGTATAAAGTCTATCAGAAAGAAACAATAACTATATATATATATACATATATAACAGTTAAAATGTGAAACTTGCGAAAAAATAATAATTTAAATATACTTTTGATCATTAACTCTTATAATGGACTCAAACAATTCAGTGGCATTAAACTCTTTTGGTGATTTAAAGAATTACAAATAGGAAAAGCAGCGAGTAAAAGTGACTTCTTTAACCTTTATATATTCCACTCAAGTATCAGTAACAAGAAGTAGTACAAATACATGCTCTTGTTTGCTCAAACAAACTAACACATTCTTTGTCTCTTTTTCTTATTTCATTTGCAAACATGGTTTCATCTTCTGCTCCAAAGGTGAACTTATTGCAAATTCTATTGAAATTACAACTTTTAGCTTGTTTCTTGAATAGACATACAAAAAAAAACAAAAATTGTTTTTTATGTTCATGAATATCTTGATTTTGCAGGAAGTTCCTTCAGATGAGAAATGGGCAGAAGATGGTCCCCCTCGCGAAGCGAAATGGTGGTATTCGACGTTTCATACTGTCACTGCTATGGTTGGTGCTGGTGTTCTTAGCCTACCTTATGCCATGGCCTACTTAGGATGGTATGTATATATGCAGAGTTCTTGTTGGATTGATATACTTGATAAATGTTCGATTCTGTGATCATCTCGTCTAAAAGTTTAACTTGTGATAGAAGAACACATTTTTATTTGTTGTATTTTGTTTTCAGTATGTCTGCTCTGATATCACGTTAAATTGTGCATTTTGAGAAAAAAATATGCTTGTATGTCTGATTCTTTCCCTAGGCACTTCTGACAGTTCTGATACCATGTTAGAAGTTCGTTTGAAAACTTAAAACTGTTAGAGAGAACGTACTTTTATTTATTAACGGAATCATGTTTTCGTTGGATTTATTTTTGATTATATGTTCATCAGGGGTCCAGGGACAGTAGTGATGATCTTATCATGGTGTATAACTTTGAACACAATGTGGCAAATGATACAACTCCATGAATGTGTCCCCGGGGTTCGTTTTGATCGATACAAGGACCTTGGAAAACATGTTTTTGGACCAAAACTTGGGGCATGGATTGTGCTTCCACAACAACTAATAGTTCAGGTTGGTTGTGACATAGTGTACATGGTTACTGGAGGAAAATGTTTGAAGAAATTCATGGAGATTGCTTGTACTAATTGCACTCGAATTCGACAATCTTATTGGATTTGCATCTTTGGTGCCATTCATTTCTTCCTTTCACAATTGCCAAATTTCAATGCTGTTTCTGGTGTTTCATTAGCTGCTGCAATCATGTCACTAAGGTAACTTATTTTCTTGATTATATGAATTTCTAGCTCCGCCACTTCTTATTTCTTTCTAATGAGATTTTGTGTCGTGACATAAACTGAACAAATTTTAAGAAAAAGTTCTGCACTAACTTTATAGCAGGCTATTTTTTATCTACCTTTTGGTACAAAAGAAGTTGAAACTCATGGTAACAGAGTATCTCTGTTCAATATTCTTATTATGTATTAGATTCTATGTGGTTTCGATAGGTGTTATTAAAATTTTATGATTATTTTTGGCGGAATCTTAGTAGCTCAGTTGGTTGACTACCTGAACTTTTGCTCGTGTTTCTTAAAAGATGTGGATGTGTGTGTGTTGGATTCTCTAGAAACATAATGCATTTTTGGAGGATCTGACACGAGTGTAGAAACATTTTTAAGGAGTCGGAGCAATATAGATTGAACTAGCTAGATGTTACAAACTTTCATCTCAATCTGTTGTGCTGCAGCTATTCAACTATAGCATGGGTTGGTTGTGTGGGCAAAGGCAGAGTCCCTAACATGAGCTACGCGTACAAGACAACAAGTTCAGTGGACTACATGTTCCGCGTCTTCAATGCATTAGGCCAAGTATCGTTTGCCTATGCAGGGCACGCGGTGGTCCTTGAGATTCAGGCTACAATTCCATCAACACCTGAAAAGCCTTCCAAAGTACCAATGTGGAAAGGTGCTGTATGGGCTTATTTTGTCAATGCTCTGTGTTATTTCCCTGTTGCATTCATCGGGTACTGGGCGTTTGGACAAGATGTCGATGACAACGTACTCGTGGGACTTGAAAGGCCATCTTGGCTTATTGCAGCTGCTAACTTAATGGTGGTTGTCCATGTCATAGGCAGTTATCAGGTACTCGAAAGCTCATTTCGTTATGCATTGTTCTTACTAGACGCGATGAATGTTGTACATAACAAGGAAAGTGATTGTTGCAGGTTTATGCTATGCCAGTATTTGATCTGATGGAGCAAAAATTGGTGAAAACATGGAATTTCCCACCTGGAGTATTGCTGAGATTCATTGTTCGTACTACATACGTTGGTGAGGGCCTTTTTCATTACATATTTTCTAGTCCAATCGTCCAAAAATCAAGTTTTAACGAATTGTTTGCCCTTCGTTTCACTATACTATGATCAGGGGCGGATGTAGCATTTTGGGCTACGAGTTCATTTGAACGAGTAACTTAGACATAGAATGTAAAACCTTATAAGATAATATCAAGAAATATTATATCTGAACTCATAATTTTAACGTTTATAATAAGCACATGAATAATGCTAAGAATCTTGAAAGTCAAACTCATTAAATTTAAATTCTGAATCTCGTTACGAGCTCAGCTGAAAAGGCATTGTCTTGTTAATATTGCAGCTTTCACTTTGTTTCTTGGTGTAACATTCCCTTTCTTTGGTGATCTTCTTGGTTTCTTTGGAGGATTTGGTTTTGCTCCTACTTCTTACTTTGTAAGTCAAGTTTCCAAATCTTATATTATGTTGTTCGGACTCTCCTAAAATGTTGCGACATTCGTGCCGAATCTACAAAAATACACTATTTTTTAAGAATTCGACATGCACCAGTCAACATTTTTAAAGAGATCGAGCAACGTATATAGCTTTTTGACTTTTTTTAATTTTAATATTTGTTGTAGCTCCCAAGCATAATGTGGCTTAAGGTCAAGAAACCAAGAAGATTCAGTACCTCATGGTGGATAAATTGGGTAAGTCCAAAAAAAACTCTAATTTTCTTCTTCTTCAATGACAATGTAAATAACTTTTATATTATCAGTACATTTTAACGCGTTGTAATATGTGAATTGTCATATTTTCCGTGTTAGTAATCATACTTATTATGGTCGATTACGAGTAATTATATGTTGAGTTTATCTTGCTTTTATATCAATTATAAAAGAAAATCATAATGTCAAGTCATCTAGAAGATAATTATGATTTAACGTCCATAAAAAGTGAGAAAATTCCACAATAGGTTACAATACAAATATTGTGTAAAAAAAAAGTTAAATTGATCAATAATCTACCTTGTCAATCTACAAAAGTTAAACTAAAATCAATTAGTATAAGTGAATCTTTGAATTATTTTTAATCTCTTTTTCTTCTGATTTTTTCCCCTAAAGTTCTACTAATATGATGTTTGTCATTTTTATTGATTTTCAGGCATGTATATTTATTGGAGTATTTATTATGATAGCTTCCACAGTTGGTGGATTGAGAAATATTGTTGCTGATTCATCCTCATATGAGTTCTATTCATGAAGGATACATTTATAATTTAATTTACATAAAATCTATTATTGGATGAAATCTAATTCAGAAAAAATTTAGTTAAAATTTAAATATGTAGTGATCTTGATTAAATATGAAATGTTTTATGTATCAAGCTAGCTGCTTTTTTAGCAGTAGTTTGTTAAGATTTCTAATTTTAGCAAATTTCCTTTTTATTGTTTTGTCTTATACATCACTTTCTTTTACTCTATCCTTATATTTATGAAGAATACATTTAGAATTTAATTTAACATAAAATCTATTATTGGATGGAATCTAATCTAGAAAAAAATTAGTTAAAGTTCAAATGTGTTATAGGGCCTTTGTCGGATCTTGATTAAATATGAGATGCTTTATGTATCGAGCTAGCCGCTTTTTTAGCAATAGTTTATTAAGATTTCTAATTTTAGCAAATTTTCTTTTTATCATATTGTCTTATATATCACTTTCTTTTACTCCATCCTCATATGAGTTCTATTCATGAAGAATACATTTAGAATTTAATTTAACATAAAATCTATTATTGGATGGAATCTAATTCAGAAAAAAAAATTAGTTAAAATTCCAATATGCAGTAGGGCCTTTGCCGGATCTTGATTAAGTATGAGATGCTTTATGTATCGAGCTAGCTGTTTTTTTAGCAATATAGTTTGTTAAAATTTTTGATTTTAGCAAATTTCCTTTTTATCATATTGTCTTATACATCCCTTTCTTTTACTCTTTTATTGTTATTATTTTTTTGTTAATCAAAGCATCTAATGTTCTAAATTTACTAGCTCAATCAATTTATATTTACATTATTTAGACTGATTAAGTGGATATAACCTGTTTTACCAAGAAAATATTTATTTTCAGGACTTGAACTGATAGCTTAGGATCTCGACTAATGTCAAGCAATTTTTTTTAAAGATTTAAAATATGAAGAAATAAACATGTCAATGAGATACATCTACTTTATAAAAGTCATAGATAATGTCCACCTTGTTTGTTAGTTATATAAGAAAACAAATCTTAGACCATAATAATGGTTTTGAAGTTCTACGTATTGATTATATAATTAAATAATAAAAGTGCATTCCCTTTAATAACTTAACATTTTAAATTAGATGATTACACATTTTGACATTACAAAGTGTAGATTCAAAACAAATAATATTACTAGTGGATCGCGTTACCACAAATGGTATCAGAATCACCCCGGGTGCATCTTAAATAGTGTTGGGCAAAATAAAGAGTTTATACACCTTTTAGCTTATGTAGCATACTTCGTGACTCCACGCAGTTGAGGCACGTGAGAGACATTTGGATCCGGTGTAAATCAAAAAGGTGTTCGAGGGGGGAAATAATAGGACCTTAGTTTAGTTAAGGCGTGCCTTTGAGATTTCGATCATAATCTAGGGATACTTATGTCTTTATCTCTTAAAATAACCTTGTACAACTTTGAATAATAAAGGGCAAACCTTTACACACTCGATATTAACAAATAAATACTCCATTCGATGTTTTAGCTTACATGAACCTTTTTTTTTTGATTCGCCTATAAAAAGAATGATCTTTTTCTAAATTCGAAAACAGTTTTATTTGAACTCTTAATATACGAGACCTCTAGAACCAACATTTTATTAACTAACACAGAAACATGTATTTGGATATTATATATTAGAAAGATATATTCTGATATATTTTTTTTCACATATATTATATTATAGAAGAATAAAATCATTGACAAATCTTTCCTTTTTCATCTCTGATTTAAACTAATGTTTTTGTCTTGCTTTGTGCACTACAAAAGAATCCCTTTACAAATGCCAAAAGGTGATAATTAAAAGCTAAATGAAAAATCAAGGATTAGAATTAGTAGCATATAATTAATAATTAATATCCATAAAGTATATGAAATGGTTCTTTGTCCACTGAAAATTCATCATTGTCAAATAGAAAAATAACAGTAGAAATTAAACATGCGTGTAACTTTGTAATACAAAGTGCAAACTCCATTAAATGAAATGCCACTAATGCTAATATTGTCAACTTTAATTACTAGAGGGGACATTATCAAATTTTATTTTCAAAGTGTTTTCTTTTTGACATAATCTTGGATATTGTCATAGAGCTAATTCACTTTTTAAAATTTTTGAAATTTGTGACATTATTCTAGCTTTTTTATTTGTTTAAGATCGAGATTTATGGTGTTGTGAACGATATTTTCACGTAAAAAGTGATTAATTTTCGATGAATTTGATTATGTTTTCGAAAATTCATATGAAAAGTGACTATAGAACTTTTGCATTTAAATTTGTTCATTCACTTCATTAGTCGTAAACAATGCGACACATTTGACCTTCATATATCTTCTTCTCTTGCACCAAAATAAAAACTTTACGTGGTCCATTTATTTTTTAATATTCCCTCTGTCTCATTTTATGTGACACTTTTTATTTTTCGACAGTCAAACAGTTTAACTTTGATTGGACATTTGCGTATGGAATTTTCAATTTTTTTGAAATGAAATACTATATTTGTAAACTACGTAAAGAGTACTATTATAAGTCACAATAATTGATAATTCAAAATATTAAAAGGATTTATGAAAAATTTTAAATCAAATATAAATTATTTAAATTTCGAAATATAAAATGTGTCACATAGATACACGAAGGGAGTATGAATAATATAGGGGAGAATCCCAATTTTCCAAAGAACTACTTCTGTATAATTTTCTACTTTATTCCCCCCAAGTATATTTGTTTAATTAAAAGGGGGAGAAAAGGGGGAGGGGGGGGGGGGGGGAGTTAAAGAAAATTAAAGAAGGTTAAAAAAAAAAAGTTCTAGTTAAAGATACTTAAATCACATGTTGTGCCACAAAAAAAGGGTCTAGTTTATGTGTTACTATAATGCAAAAGGCACTAAAAAGTGTGTTTTCTTGAAGTGACACAATATGAAATTTGCTTTATTCATGGCTGCTCAAAATAGGGAACAGGAAAATAAAGGTTTTAAATTGATTAGACAAGTTGACAAAATGACTAGATAAATATTATATTATTTTTTTATTTCTCATTTGATATTTGGTATCAGAACACAACTGTTCCATCGCGATGATTCGCAATATTATATGAACTTAATTAAGGATAATGATGTTATCCTAATCTCAAATTTAATTAAGTCATAATCAAAAGGGAGATTATCCACATATGTAATTCGAGATGAATCTCCTTCAATGTTTGGTGTAGTGATTGTCAATGATATTACATATTTCATTTTATTGACTCAACGTCTTAGAATTGATTAATCATAATTCTAACTGAAAAGAATTTTTAGTAATTGATATTATTCGTTTTATACCTAAATTCATATGCCTTTAAAATAGGTTATTAGGATCTAAATTTTATTTAGTTATGTACTCAACATCTCTCTCGTGCTTTGCTGATGTGGAATTTGTCTAAAATATGATAATACTAACAAAACCTAGTGGAAACGAAAAATTGCCAAAATGATTAAAACAGATAGTAAACTCAACATAGATAGCTTGTACCTAGACATTATTTGTTGCAAAATATTAAAGGTGGTCTTTTTTAAAAAATTCAGATATGTCATCGTCATATAGTAGAACATTGTCATCCTCATCCTAATATTCAACAAAATGAACGATTGCTAATTATCAATGACTAGGTAGCTTGTTGTGAACAATAACAATAATAAATTAGATGTAATTTTTTAAATGAAATTTGAGAAGTGAAAAAAATAAAGTATACACGAATCATAGTTTATTGTTATTTTCTATGGGACGGAAAGGATGTTTTTGATGAATCCTTGACTATCCTTGTTTCTTTTATTTGAGTATGAAACTGATAACGTAAACAAGCTTGCATCGCTTATCTTAATATTGTTATTAGTTTGGTTTTAAAATAGGAGATGCCTATATAGATATAGATACATTGTATCTTGTACATATAATCACTATTTAAGCCTTTTTATTCCTTATCTGGGACTATTTTATCTTTTATTTAACAGTGTCATCCACTTTTATGCTAACTAACAATTACTCTATCTCATTTAACAGTTGTTTTTATATGTTTCATGCATATTTTAAAAATGTCAAATATAAGAAATAGTTTACTGCTTTTATTTGGTGAATATAAAGTGATTTATTCAATATTATGAGTATAGTTTGAACATAATTGTCAATTTTAATCTTTAAATTTTGAAAGTGCTAATTATTAAGGGACTATTTTTAAGCTAAAGAGTCAAAATGGGAGGTAGTACTTGCTACTTGGTATCACTATATTTTTTTTTACTTTTGCAATATTAATGTTGCTTAGATTCTCGGGAATGTTGTTGCACTCGTATCGAATCTTAAAAAATACATACATATAGCCTCTAGATATATGGAGTCATTACTCATAAAATTACACAACTATCGAAAATCTGAGTATATATGTCAGAAAGTTTCACATTTAAAGGTGAAAACTTCATATCCAAAAGCTCGAACTTCAAACATCTGATAAAGGATGAATGAGTACTCTCTACTCCCGCACAATACTTATTGGTAATTTGAGTATTTATTCTACTTTTTCTTTTAATCTCATTGTTACTCAAATTATATCAACCATTGTATCACCTGAGGTTCCCTCCAGGTAGTAGTCAAAAAATGGAAAGAAGAACAAAGAAATGCACAGAAACAGACGAAAGAAAAACTGTAGTCCATAAAAATGGTGAAATGCGCTCAATGAGAATAAGCTTATCATAAGCAAATAGAGTCTACATATTTGCCTTGCAGCGAAAAGGTTAAAAATAGTGGCTGCCTGCCTTGGACTAGACGCGGAGCCTTAATCTAAATTAACGGAACAAATATCTAATTGGATAGTGCTTAACCGATTTGCTTGCTTTTATGTAGTCGTCGTACCTTTCATACCGAGGAGTTCAGCAAACAAAATGTGCATCTAGACTATCATTCATTTCCTGCATAAAAGTAGTGACCCAATGTCAATCCACTCATCATCAAACACAGGCAATTTTTTAGCTACTAATTGCTCTATGTGAGCATGCAGTAATTCTTCTGCTC